ATGTCTATGTTTATGTCTAACCATTACCTCTAACAGGTTTCTGTGATGTATCTTGTATAGCCAGTAATTGTCTCAGACGTCTGGTTCCTATCACCACCACTGTGAATGATTCTCAGTCAGCAAGTTTCTCTAGAGCAGCGCATTACATCAAACTACTCTGAATTACATTATTTACATCATGATGATTGAATTACACAGAAATTTAGACAATTCTGTGAAAATCCTTCTTGACTAAATTTTCTTTTTATCTACTTGCATATTCACTCTACTTTTGTAACTGTTCTTAAATGACTTTTTGTATGTCATTTTTAATTTTTTTTTTTCATCTTCTGTTGCTGTCTTCACTGCAAGGCCATTTTACAGTATACCATGGTTTACAGTAGTTCACAGAAATGAAAGACTTTGCAAAAGCTTTACAGAAAGAGAGGCTTGATAAATTCAGACTGTATGAACTGTGACTTCTCATTTCTGATATGTCTGTATATTAAAATTGATCATTTGAAGCAACTATTTGACTAACGTTTCTTTTAACTGAAACTCATGCCACATTTTATTTCTTCACTCTTTAGTTTCCATCTTTATATTTTATATTAATTTTACTTGAGTATATTTTGACCTTCCATTGTGGCTCAGGACTATTCCTACATTAGACAATACTGTAAAAATAAACAGTAGGTACATGTGTAGTGATACACTCACATTCAGATTTGATTCTCAATACTGGGTTCACAATTCAGTATATTACGATTGTCCATTTTTTTTCTTCTTTCTACGGCTACAATTTGTTGAGAAATGACTAAATACAAACTTTATGCAAATAAGCTGATTGGAAACCAGTCATATTGTTGATAGCTAGCACAGTAACTGTTTGTGTCCTGCTCATAATCAAGCTATACATTAAGTTTCAACGCTTGAACACACATCGAGCTGAAGATATAACAGTGGTAAAATAAACTTAGGTTCAAAACATGGCAAATTATAGTTTAAAAAACAGTATTAGACAGCTAATATGGTTTAGCTTTAGCAACATGATCCCAAAACAGTAATAAAAATAAAAGGTTCAGCATTATCTTACACAGTGCTACAGTAGATTTGGAAAATATATATAAATCAATTTAATTTAAAGTTAAATTTTTTTTAAATGATTTTTAGCAGTTGCAGAAATCTGGGGACACTGCAGCCCCCCTAGTACCTCCATTTCCCACACCCATAGTGTCAGGGATAAATCGTGGTCTCGTGAGGCCCTTAACTCCAGCTAAAATACAAAAACTAAGAAGCTAGACCTGAGAAAGCCTTCAGTAAATGGCTTGTATTCAGGGGCTGTTTATTTATCTATTTTTTGCATCTGCAGTGGACTGTGCTTTCTTTAAGCCACCTCAGAGGCCCCTGTATACAGGTCCCATCACTGATCTATATCCTGGATGGAGTGAGTTGTTGATTTTGGTGCTGATAGTTTGCAAGCTTTAGTGCTCAAACTATGCAACTGCACTCAATGGCTATATTGATAGAATGTCCATTCTCCACGATGCATTGTCTCATTTTTGCATCATGATACTACATCATCACGATGCACTGTTACACCCCAAACAGTAACTAAATGTATAACAAATGCAAATTCATTGCTGGCCTCTGGTGAATAAAAATCACAATTCAAACAATAGTCAAAAACATACATTATATTTGATCTGATGTCATTTGCAACAATGGTTTCATTTACATGTTCAAATAAATGTTACACAATAAAATGTGTACATACATCAATTTTCATTAAGCCTGTTAACTTTCCTTTTCAAAGTTACTTTGCAGGATCAGATACAGTATATTCTGCACAGCCTAAAGTAGTACTGCACTTTGATTTGTCACGAAGTTCTATCTCAATAATTTACATGAAGCCTACCGTCTTTTATAGCATTGCAACTGTAAGCTTCAGCAATCACACTCATAAGGCTAAAACTTCTCTTTTGCAACTTATTCAAGCTTCCACTGTATTTACTGTTGTGCTTGAGAAAGACCTCAAATATAGCGCTGACTTCAAAATGTAGGTTGCTTCATGTGGGGCAACTGAGAACATGCACAGGAATAGACAGAGAAATCATCTAAGGTAGCAAAACACAGCTTATCAACCCAAGAAACAAACACAGTCATATGCAAAGGTTTGGGCAACCCTGCTCAAATATCATTTCGTTTTATCCTCTACAGAGAACATAGTTCTGCAAATTGTCATACACAGTTACTGTTTATTTGCTTAATTTAACATATTGGGAAAAAAATAAAACATAAATTGCAGCCTGTGCAAAAGTTATGGCACATATATTTTATTCTTTTCCAATATGTTAACCTCAGTTAATAAATACAAACTGTGCAATAAAACTTGCAGAAAAACAAATATATTAAGTTTACAAGCTAATTTGTGAAATTTCTTACCTGCTAGATCTGCCCCAGTCAACTGTTAGTGCTATTACCGAGAAATGGAATTGTCTTGGAACAGCAACTGTTCAGCCATGAAGCGGTAGACCATGCAAACTGTGTAGACCATGCAATCAGCACAAGAACCGTGCACTGGGAGCTTCATAAAACAGGTTTCGACGGCCGAGCGGTTGCACACAAACCTAAGATCAATAATGTGCAATGGCAAACATCGCTGGAGTGGTGTAAAGCACGCCACCACTGGACTCTGGAGCAGTTGAAATGCATTCTGTGGAGTGATGAATCATGCTTCACTGCCAGTCTGATGGATGAGTCTGGCAGGAGAATGCTAGCCTATGCATAGTGTCAACAGCTTGGCGGAGGAGGTATAATGGTCTGGGGCTGTTTTTCAGGGTTTGGACTCAGCCCCTTAGCTCTACTTAAGGTTAATATTAATGCTACATCATGCAAAGACATTTTAGACAATTATATACTTCCAACTTTGTGGCAAAAGTTGAGAATGGCCCTTTCCTTTCCCAGCTTGACTGTGCTCCTGTGCACAGAGCGAAGTCCATTAATGTAATGTTTTGTGGCCTGTACAGAGCCCTGACCTCAATCCCTGATCACCTTTGGGATGAACCGGAATGGAATGTCGACTGTGAGACAAGTCTACACGTCCAACATCAGGACTTGACCTCAAAAACGCTTTTGACTGAGTGGGCACAAATTCCAACAGACACACTCCAAAATCTCGTAGAAAGCCTTCCAAGAAGAGTGGAGCCTGTTACAGCTGCAAAGGCTATAAAGCTAACTCCATACTGATTTGGAATGGGATGTCCAACAAGCTCATTAAGGTGTGATGGTCAGGTGTCCACATACTTTTGGCCATGTAGTGTATTTTAACAGCACTTAGAAAATCACCAAAACGTGATATGACCAGGGGTGTTCAAAATTTTGCATAGGACTGTATACCAGACGTTGTATAAATGAATGGACTTCTGCAAGTTTGAAATGAATCCAGTACAACTGAAAAACTAGATACAGTATCATCTTTGATCATTACTTTCCAGTCACTGTAACAAAAACTCATGTTTCATGAGTTTCATGATGCATGGATCTTGCTAGTTCCAGGAACCATGCACACAGCTAAAAGCTTAACTAACTTGACAAACAGTGCTATGATCTGTATATTTTAGTCTTCACACTTCCATTTAACACAACATATAACCAATCACTCTAATATAACACTATATTGCAGCAAAAAGAGATTAAATCGACTATTTCTTTAAAAGCACCTCCCTGCAAATGACAATCAGCTTTCAAGAACGCAAACAGAGGCATTCTAATAATATTTCCACAAGCACACACCTACATTTATTACATCCTCAGTTAAAAAATGAGTGTCCTTACACTGTTGCAGCAATTCCTGATCATGTCTTTAACAAATACAGAAAAGGCATATTCTGTACAGCACAATTAGAACATAATTCAAATCAAAATTAACCATTTCTGCACTAAATGTCCAAAAGAATACAGACACACCATCTGATTAGCGAACCGAGTTACTTTAAGGTGCAACCACTGCTGATATTGGTGTTCAATCGTGCAAACAATTGCGCATAGTCTCCATCGAAAAGCAATAGCATTGGGCTGAAGAGAAGTGGAATTGCGTTCTCTAGAGTGATAGAGCACTGTGCGATGAGATGGAGTAGCATTTGTGATCCAGAACTAATCATCCAACATCAGCAACTGATCTCACTAATGCTCGCGGCTGAATGCAATCACATCTTCACAGCAATGTTCCAGCATCTAGTATAAACATTTCCAGAAGAATAACTGCAGTAAAAGGGAACAAACTCCCTATTAATTACCTTAAATTCAGAAGAATGAACAGATGTCTACAATCTTTTGTACAAATAATGAATCTATATAAGTTATTCAGTACTTAACAACATTGCACACATCAACAGATTAAAGTGAATGAAAACTATAAGGGTGCCTGTCAGCAGCAAAGCTTGGTCATAACTGCCCTTCCTGACAATACTTCTCCATTTAAGCAATTTATTATGCTTAGTCTATTTAGTTGACATCTTGTGACGCTCAGATCTAATTACCCTAAAATGTAAACCATCTTTGGTTAAAATCTTAACCCTTTCCTTTGATTAACCATAATAATTACTACACAAATGAATCATCATTGCAGAGATGAAAGGGGTAAGGAGCGTGCAATATCAAAATGCAATTACTTAATGAGAAAAACAGCTAGTAAAGTAAACTGTTGGTGACTTTGTAATAAGGAACATACCGTCTGGATAAAAAGCAAAGCATACTTAAAATAAAATTGGCGTTTCTTAAAGGAATGGGTCAAACTAATGCAATTTTACTCCAGATGTGGTAAATCAGCAAGGTTCTTTAGTGTTGCAATGGAGATATGATGCCAATGTAGCTAACATAACGGAAGCTTATTCCATATTAATGAAATGTAATATCTAACAGACTTTCTTATTTGGTTTTTGATGCTATTAAGCACACTGTTACGCATAAAAATAAGCAAAGCTTCATCACATAGCTAAAAAACACCAGGAGAAACCACCTTGAAGCCTGAATTTTTTCTGTACTTTTGTCAAAGCAAACTTCAGATACCAAACATGTCTTGGCTAATCAATTGTACATGGGGTAAGGAGAAATTGTGTGAATTTGCTTTTTCACTTAAGTATTCCTTTACGCCAGAACATTTCTGAACACACCAAGCCAACAATTCACTACCGTCTTCTTCCATTTTACATTTAAATTATGGACTTAATTATATCCACGTTAAATGATACATATACGGAGTCATTTACACAACATTTTTTTTGTCCTGCGTTATACCTTTTGAAGTATTGCGGCATCTCCACAATATTCACAATTCACATCTGTCATTTTCACTATTCTGCATTTTTCTTTTTGTCTGTAGTGTGAAACGTCTGCTGTTTTGTCTGCGATGACTCGCTTGTGCATGTCTTTGTATGGAGCTGCTCATGTCTCTTTAGATGTCCAGTTCTGCTGAAGCTCTTGTTGCAGTGTGAACAGTTGTAGAGTCGCTCTCCAGTATGAGTTAACTGGTGGAGTTTGAGGCTGCTAGCCACTGTGAAACTTCGACCACACTCACCACAGCTGTATGGCCTCTCGCCAGTGTGCATCCGCTTGTGGATGGTCAGGTGGCCAGCTTGGCTAAAGGTTTTGGCACACATGTCACAGCTGTACGGCCTTTCGCCTGTGTGGATCCGGTAGTGCGTTTTAAGGTCACCCATGCCATTAAACCTCTTCCCACACTGACCACAACAATATGGTTTCTCCCCAGTATGAATTCTGAGATGGATCCTTAGATTGCCGGCGTTCGAGAAGGTCTTGGCACACACACTGCATGCGTATGGCCGTTCGCCCGTGTGAGTTCGTAGGTGGACTTTGAGCTGGTTGTGCTCGTTGAATCGTTTGCCACAGTGTGGACAGCAGTAGGGTTTCTCACCAGTGTGTATTCTTTTGTGTATTCGGAGCTGGCCCTGATGCCCATAACTCTTTCCGCATAAATTACAGGTAAATGGCCTTTCGCCAGTGTGGGTGCGCTTGTGGTTTCTCAGTAGGTCAGCTCGACTAAAACCCTTACCACAGATGCTGCAGGTGTGTGCCCTCTCCGAGCTGTGAGTCTTCAGGTGGATGTTGAGCGACGCCATGCGACTGAAGCTTTTGCCACAAAGACTGCAGTGGAAGTTCTTGCTTTGTTTCACCTCTTTTGAGGTTGGACTTTGTCTTGATGGGTCCCTCTTCGCTTGAAGTCTCTCCTCTGATTCTTTAGCCACCCCAGCATCTGACTGGTCCTCCGCTACAGCATGATCAGTCGGACCATTAATCTCCGTCTCTGATAAGCTGTATGCTGACCTTCCAGTTTCATCATGACCCACATCGCTTCCTTCATCTGCACTTACAGAACTGCCCAAATGTGCATCAGACACTATGGTTACCTTAACCTCACTATCACTGGCTCTGTAGGGGTCTAAGGGAAAGCCAATCGGACTATAACATTCAGACGGAACACAGTTCTCCTCAGGACTTTCTACTTTAATACACTTAGTTGTGAAATGAACAGGCGACTGACACTTTGAGAGGTTGATGGCAGAGCCATCTTCACAGTCGGGGTCAATCTTTACATATGTTAATATGGTACTTGACGTATGTTTGTCTAATTGAGGTGCTCCACTTGCTGGTGGTTGAGGGCATGACTTCAGTAACCCAGGCTTTGAATCTCTGGTTATCCTTGGCTGATCTTCACACTGTCTCCTAGGGCCTGGGCCTCTTTGACTGCTCTGTATGGATGTATTTGTTGGATTATGAAGGGAAGTTTGTCTTGATAGGTCCAAACCAGAAACAGCAACATCCTCAATCTCTGCAAAGCAAAATAATGTCTTTATATTAGTTCTGTCCTTACAAACCCTCATTTGCCGTCTGTTTACAAAAACGGTGTACTTCACTGACAATACGTTTCAATTCATCCCTCTTTTATTTAAATGTTCAGTTTGTGCAACACACACAATAACATGCCATTATTTCATCAGTGCTGAGAATGATCAACCCCTTAAATAATACAAGCTCATTGGTGGTCTTGTGGGGGTCCTAACCATTGATGAACAGGGTAAAGAAAAGCTAAAAAATTATGAGAAACAGAAACTACAATCTGTAATTGTAAAAATATAAAGTGCAGCTTTACGTAAAGCCTTACAGAAATCAGAATCATTCCAAATATGAGGGAGAAAAATGAAAGTCTAATGGAAAACAAAATACAAAAGGTGAACCTATCCTCTTCTGGAGGACACTGGGTCGAGGGATTACGGTTTAAAATTTAGAAAGAGACCCAGATCATACAGAAAAAAGAAAAGCAAGTCGGATAAACCAGGTTTGTCCGTCGTTAATATTAAAAGTCTTCACAAGGTTTGATGGATTACTGATTATGTCAGACGTGCAGCCTACTGGATATTTGATAAGAGAACATGACCATTAAAAAGTTCAACATGACATACCGGTCTTTACGTGGCTTTTCAGGGCCTCTTGCGCGTGCAGTCTTCTCCTGAGATCTTCGTTCTCCGACATGATTCGCCGAATTTCCCCCTGATACTCCGACAGGGTCTCATCAACAGAGTCCAGGATGTTACCAACAGTCGCTCTGAATATTTCATTCAAAGAGGACTCCAGAAAAGCTTTCAGGTTTTTTGAGCTCGCCATTGTTTCAGCTTCTGAAAAGAAACGATGAAATTCCTACGGCAAACACAAAGCTCCTTCAGAAGGCTGCCCTTTGCTTTGGTTTAGCACTCACAGTCGAGACGGACGGATCTCACTTGCTAGCTTGGCTAAGCTAGCTAGAAACGTTACCATCTGCCGGAAAAAGCAGCAACTATTAGACGACAATGTGTCAAAAGCACTTTATCACTGATAGCACATAACGACAAACTGTTCAGATTATCTGACACGAATACAGTCTCTGTCTTCTATCTCTATTCAGACTTTTTCTTGTGAATTGAGTGAACAGACCCGCCGAGCTAATGAGAGCCTGACTTGTTCTACGGTGGTTGGATAGTTACTCGGGTTCAACAGGTTCATCTCCCACTGTCGCCCCTTCAGGTTTGGAGACGAATAGTTATGTTGTGCCTCTGCTTCGACCATGTTTCATTTCGACACAATAAAATACATCCTACTAAACTCAACTGAATGCATTGTTTTCTTTTTATTACAGACATTGTGACAAAGCGTTAAAAAAAAACAGATGAAATGGATGAAATGAACTACACATCGAACGAGGAAGCGGAAGACGACAGGGTCAAAACGACTCAAAAAGGGATCCAACTTTCTCCCTTCTCCCATTTTCTACATTTTACTTGTACTTTTTTTCTTCTGAGGTAACGTTCGAGCGTTCGAGACCAAAAACAGCCATAGTTAATATTTACATGACCATTTTCCCACTTTTATCCTTTATTAGACAAATTATACAAAGCAGTTTTTATTGCTGTGCCTTTAAGAGTTATTATGTAAATGAAATCTGTTCTGACTGGCTGCCCTGTATTGTGACTCACCACACCCACACAGCGAAGCAGGCTTCTGTGCCAGGCAGCTAATGGAGTGCACCCAACATTTCAGCCTGGACTGCTTTCAACTATCACTCGCTGCAGATTCTTTAGTCCAAAGGGGTGGAGCCGGACCTGATCCAACTCCGCCCACGTCTTCTTTTCACTGATCTAAAATCATCACATTTCTATTGGTCTTTAAACGAGTATGTGTCGCTTACTTTGTCCTCCTACGACTTATTTCATTGGTCTGCCCTGCCGCGTTTTTCTCTGTGGGAAACCAAAAGGTGATGCTGGTGTCTTTGTGTTTTTCTCGATGTTGCTCTGTCCTGAACGCCACAACACGGCCTTTATAATCGCTCACGATTCACGACGTTCTCACTCATTTGTCACAACTCGAAAAGCTTTTTTCACATTCCGGTACAAAGTCCGTTCTGTAGGCCTACAAATCAAGCGTACTTATGACGGACGGGTTCTAGTTAAAAACGATGAAGGTTTTTAAACACTAGAATGGACATATGACTGGTCAAAATAACCCACATAACTGTGTTTATCAACTAAGTCCGGGAATTTCATAATAATAAAAAAAGACTTTTTACATTTAAAAGGATTTGGTATAACTGCCACACATTTCCATATGTCTAATAAAATGACTCAATATGCCTAAAAAATCATATTAAATGTTATAAACCCTGATGAGCCACTTTATTAGCTCACCTTGTTTCTACCCTCGTTGTCCATTTGATCAGCTCCACTCGAGTTCAGACCAATTAAAACACGACGTGGGAGGAGTTGGATCAGATCCAGCCGAACCCCCTGAATTTTTGGTTCCGCAGCGAGGACAATCTCGCTGCTTTTTAAACGAGACACAACATGGGACAGCCAATCAAAACAGATATTATTTACATACACTATATGGCCAAAAGTGTGTGGACACCTGCCCGTCACACCTATGTGTGCTTGTTGGACATCCCTTTACAAAACCATGGACATGAATATGGAATTGGTCCTCCTTCGCAGCTGTAACAGTCTCCACTCTTCTACAAGATTTTAGAGTGTGTCTGTGAGAATTTGTGCCTATTCAGTCAAAATAGCATTTGTAAGGTCAGGCACTGATACTGGACAAGAAGACCTGGCTCACAATCAAAATTTTAAGTCATCTCAATGGTGTTTAATGGGGTTGGGGTCAGGGCTCTGTGCAGGCCCCTGGAGTTCTTTCACACCAAACTCATCAAACCATGTCTTTATGGGCCTTGCTTTGTGCACAGGGACTTCCCAAACTGAAGCATATAATTGTCAAAAATGTTTTAATATTGCAATTCACAAGTACTAAGGGCCTGAGCCCAAACCCTGAAAAACAGCCCTCGACTGTTATCCCTCTTTCACCAAACTTAACTGTTGCACTATGCATTCCGGTAGGTAGCATTTTCCTGGTATCTGCCAAACCCAGATTTGTCTATTGGACAAATTTGTCTGGCTTTCTGTGGCAATGCCACATTTAAAGTCACTGAGCTCTTCGGTGCAACCCATTCTACTACCATGTTGATTGCATGGCTATGTGCTTGATTTTATAATCTTGTTAGCAATGGATATCACAGAAACAACCAAACTCAAAAATTAGGAAGGATGTTTATATCACTCTCAAAGGCACAATATGAAAATTACCATTTAATTGTAAGGGATGAGGAGAGAAAATGGTCATGTACCATGACTGTTTTTAGTATACAAACCCACATAAACGTCACAAGTGAGGCTGGGTGGGGGTGGGGGTGAAGATAAAATACAAGACTAATACAGAATATGGGCCCTTTAATGTTAAATGGTATGCTGCAGCTATCTTGTGTATATCAGCGTCTTATTAAAGTGTTCTGAAAGTGGGGAAGTGTTGTGTATTGGTAGCATAAGTTTACAAATTTACAGGTAAGATTTACCAAAGGTCCTCGGATTTTATAGTGGAAATAAACCAGTGATTAATATTCCTTTACAAAGTTTTTTTTAAATAGATATGAAAAATATGGTGGACAAAATGGTGGGTAAAATGCTCAATATGTGTTGCTGTAAGGCGAGATTCCGGGAACGGGCGAAGAGTTCACAGGAATCGGGAATCGTGAACAAAAATATACTGAACAAGGGCGAGCCCATGCTAAACCAATCTACTGTGACACCCACGTGTCAGCGATTCCACCGATATAGTGAGGTGGGAGTCGCCCTCTAGCGGTTGTGGGAGTAAAGTTGCAGTGGGCGGTGGATCAAGTTCTCTCATCTCAGGTATCTTTCCGCCTTTGTAACACTTAACTGCTGCCAGGTGTCCTCTTTCACTCGTTCGTTGGGTTTTCTCTGTACACACACGTTTCCACTCACCCCTTTATTTCCCTTTCAGTCGAGCTTGTCATCGGGAAGATCATCCGGACAGATATATCCAGACTTGATAATGGAGTTGTTGATATAAACACGGAGAATGAACTTTATATTAGTTTGTGGCTTCTGAAAGGCACCTCAGGCTGTAACTTAGCCGCGCGTCCGGCGTTTCTCTATTTGCTTACAGCAGTGGGTAGCATTTGTAGCATTCATGACTGAGAGGCATTCAAAAACAACTCTCAGTGACGTGTAAAGTGTTCAGCTAATACAGTTTTTGTTGTCTGTATTTGAAAAAAAATGGCATCTTTCCTGGAGCTGATGTCATTCTACTTTCGTTTAGGCTACTGATGTTAGCAGTCGTTGACTGAGGTAAGTGGCAACTGACTGCAGTTCTTGGTGCCTTGCAGAATTTATTTTAGACCTGCTGGGCTCCTCTAATGGGTCATCTGCTTATATTTAAAAAAATAAGTATTTTTTCAAATGTTGTAATGCTGTTGTATGGCTGTATCTCGAGTGGCTCCCTACTCACTATATAATGAACTACATAAGCCAGAAAATGATGGCTTCTGAACCCAAACAGTGCACAATGTCTTATCTGGGAACTATTTGGGATTTATTTGGCTTTTATTAATTTAAAGGGGAATTCCGCCAAATTTTAAAAATATTTGCATAATTCAATGTAAACAGAATCATTCAGAGGGTACAGACTGGTTTGATGTAAAATAATAGTTACTGCGTTACTGCCCTGGATTTTTTTCCAGGGGTCACAGTGTCTACAACGCAAATATAGTATTTTATTTTTTTTTTTACAAAACCAGCAGTGAACCTGAGTTGTATATGTAATGGTGATAATGGTAAATAAAATAAAAAAGTTTGGGGTGCATTTTGCCTTATAACACCCTGCGCGTACCTCTCCACCCTTAAAGTTTTAGGCCAAAACCTTATCTCAAAACTATTGTAAAGCAGTATCTCAGGCATCATGCCGTGCATTCAATGTATGTGTTATCATTTTATGTAATGACTTTTTGTGAGGTAGTTTTTAGAGGCATTAAATTAGAGGAGCCTTTCACCACTATTATGAACAATTCTGACTTTGCAGGTTTCTCTAGAACGGCACACTCTGAGTGACTGTTTACATATTAACAGTTTAACCCGATTTCTCATAGGTTTATATATCATTGCTGTAATAAAAAAGTCTATGTACATATTTTTGAAGGTTTTTGAAACAATTTGACAATACCAGCTGCAAGTGACACTGTGATACAATGTCCTGTCCAACAGACCAAAATGATCCAAAATGACATAGAATAAGTCATAGTCTACATAGACATAGACAATTTTAGAATGTTTTTTTTCCTTCTGCTGTAACGTCACCATTCTGGAGATACAAGGTTTTGTTTCCGACAGCAGCTGTATGTGTGTTCTTTGTGTAGTATCCCTTTCTGTCATGCTGGTTGGTTATTTATAACAGAATGGCTCAGCATAAAGACAACAGCTAGTCAGCCAGTTGCAAGTGTTTTGCGCAATGATATCAGTGGGCCAGGGTCTGACTCTCAGTTCCCTAGAAAAACTGGAAGTGTAAAATAAAGAGAACCCTTGTGAGTGTTGAGGCCAGGGGATGCCAGCTCAGGACATTGAAGGCATCTAAGATTAACCTTGAGCTGTGTTGTTATACAACACATACCACACCGCTGACTGTTGTGAGATTGGCCAATGACAGGACATCTGAAATCACGCAAGGAACGTTGTGGTATGTCAAGAAAAGTTCAGTGACTGCTCTGTAACTGATGGGCGTCAACTTTCTGTCATTCTTTGATAGCTGTTGGCTGAGGTATTGGTTTGTCATTCTAACTGAGTGGCTGTACCCTACAGGAAGCAGTGAGGTGAGCACCAGCAGGAAATGAAGGAGAGAATGGACCCGGATGTGGGTTAAATGATGTGAGTAGAGAGAAGTATAAGAGAATGAGGCATTGCCTTCACTCTGTCAGTTTATATGTTATAAAGAATCTATAACGATAAGCTCCTCTCTCCCTACCAGTGCCAAAAGGTGCTTACAAGAATTTTAATCTCGCCAGTAAGACAAACTGTTCAGACGCACACCCTCAATCCAGCACCATGTCTCTTAATCTTCCCCTACCACCCTCTCTTTTTCTCTCTCCCTCTCTCTATGTAGTGGTTTATTTGTGGCCAGGAAGTGTAACTGTGTCTCAGTGACGCCTGTGCAGAAAGTCATTGCAAAGCACATCCGCTGTGCACCTCTTAAAGTGAAGTTGAGAAAGGGCGTTTGGTTATGGCCGGTAACTAAAAGAGAGTTCTATGAAGGTAAGTCCAAGTCCAGTTTTTTGTTCATTTTGATATTATTCATAACCGAAGTAGTCATAGCTTGTAGTATATAACAAACGGCTAAGTGGTGGCTGGTCGTCTTGAAACATGTGCTGGGGATGGGCCAAAAAATCGAATTTGATCTGGCAGCCATGTTGACTTCACTTTTAAAATAATTTTTTTTAAAAGTCATAATACAGATCTTGTTGACCAAATAGGAATGAACAGAAAATAAAAACAAAAGTGGGACTTCAGCTTTTAAATGTTTGTCATTGCCTTGTGCTCTTAGCCAGTGGTTTAATCAATGTTTTTCTGCTGACAAACAGTGTATATTAAAGTGTTATAAAGTTCCTTGTTTAGCAGTTGGTCGATTGATCTACCGTTTAAATGTTGTATTTTCAGATTTACTCATAGCACTCACTCTAGAGCAGGTGTGATATATGTCTGTGATAGCACCACTTCAGAAGTTGCTAACCATATGTTTTTTCAGTGTGGGAGTTGCCAGTAATTTTGACTGAGATGGAGGCTCCACTTACAGTCATCACTGAGAGCTGAACTTTTCATCTTTCTTCATTGTTTCTACTTTGTTGCCTGAGGATCTGAGATTCCAGACCATGGAGAGGAATCTCATTCTTCCGGCTCAGCCACCCTATCAGGAAACTGATGTCTTTGAGGCAGAGAAACCTCAGCCCTATTTGGAGGCCAAGCGGTACATAGAGAGGATAGAGGAGGAAAACAAGAGATGCCAAGAAGAAAAACGCACAGACAGAACACATGAACCACCTGAGGGTCCAGAACCTTTAGAACATGGGGTTTCCCTGACAATGTACCCCATTAGGGTGCCCAGCATGCATTTAAGTTGTGCCACAGTGCAATGGGACATGCCACAGACTCCTACAGAAGACCCAGTCTCAGACATAGCCTCTGTGGATGAGCTTAACTCTAGTGGAGCCAGCTTGGACTGGACTGTTAATCCGTTGTCCTCTGACATGCCTTCCCTGAGCCAGGAGGATATGATTGACTTTATACCAGAGGAGGAGACTGGACAGATAGACACTGATGCAGAATTGCAGCACGCACCAGCTGTAGAAAACAAAGTCAACTCCTGCCAGGTATGTAACAGCCAAACAGGAAGAACTGTGCGGTTTGGCTTCTAGAACACTGCCTCTTAATATGAATGTGTGGGTGTGAATTTAGAGATGAATCCAGAGTTCATTTTTCTTTACTAAGTACTTTACTAAATTTGTTAAATTCCATCATCAGCACACCTGAAGTAATTTAATTAAGGACTGACTGGCTATACGAGGTAGTGGATGGTAACTGTAAATGCTGGACTTTCTTGAAGACAGCTTTGGTAATGGTTAAGCTGATACACACACATAACATCACAATGTATTGTTAATTTGTCTGTATTTATTCTATGTTAGTGTTATAAATATTTACTGCCAGATCTACATATAATTTTGTCGGATGCCAAACACAAATTTCTGGACTGGCAATTTTGTGGTCTCTATTTGTAACTTTACTTATTACCTCGTAGCGTTTAAATGTATAAAATGAGTATCATACTCCAGAAAATTTCATTTTCTCTAGCAATCCTACTACAGTACTATGCAAAAGTTAGGGATCACCCTTATTTTATTCAATTTCCACTCAAACCAGCCATTGAGTACAAGTTAAATTCAAAGGAAAGTAAATTAAAGACAGCAGTTCAAAAAATTATTAACAGATGCAGAGAAAATTGGAAAAAAAACAACTGTGCAAGACCTGGTAAACCACCAAAAGACCAAAACCACCGTCTGATAAACCGTATCTAAAGCTTTCATCTTTGAGAGAGAGGAGAAATTAAGCTCCACTCTTGCTTCAAATCTGAAAATATCTATAGGTGTTTTTGTCCATCCTTCCACTGTGAGAGGACAGCTCAGCGCTATGGGTCTGGAAGGATGTGTAATTGTCAAGCCTTCACTGAGCAATCAAAATGGACAGAAAAGATTTGCAAATTGAGCAGAACAGAATAATGGACTGGCCACCCCAGAGTCCAGCCCTCGACATCACTGAGTGTGTTTGGGATTATTTAGATCGTCAGAAGCAAAATATTGCAAGTAACTATGAAAACAATATGGAAAAATTATCCCTGCAGAAAGCAAGTCTCCTGAAAAGACTGCAAGCTGTAATAAAGACAAAGAGTGGACACACTAAATATTTTTAAAAATTTTCTGTTGAATATAGGTTTTTTCCCCCCTTATTTTTGCTGATAAATGAATATTTTTTACTTAATGGCCATTTTGACTTAAAATTAAATGAATGAAGTGTTGTGTATGATGTTTGCACAATATTGTTATCAGCTTTGAAGGTAGAGTGTATAATTTTTTCACAGTCACATTAGTAATTTAGCCCATAATTTTGTTTTGTCTGTGCTGGTTCAGTAAGTTTACTTGCTAGTTGACAGAGTCACAGTCACAGTTTGCAATGTTAGTCGCTGTTAGAGTTTATGCTTGTTATTACTCTCACAGACATGTGATGTGCAGGCCATAGATGAGAACGGATGTGCGACACCATCAAACAAGGAAGGCCAAGGGACATTGAAAGGTAGCACTTCTCCTGTGAATGATATATTCCGTAATATCATTTGTTAGAAGTTATCATTCTTTCATCCTTTCTCTGACATCATGTTTTCAGTACTGACATTTCATATCATGGCCATAGTGACATGGCTGTAAAATTTGAATATTGGCTCTTTATAGCAGCACACCTCACTCTGCAGGCAGAATATGACTTCCTGTTTTATTTATGTTTAGGTGGAGGCCTAGATGCACCTACTGTAATTTTCCATTTGCACCTCCACTAAGATGTGTAGGTCATGGTTACCGGACTATTTAGCCATTTAATGAGGGCTCTGAGCATAATAGCACCTCAGAAGAAGCGCCAACATTCAAATCTTCTCAAATGAGTCACTGGGAAATGTTTTAAATGACCAGAAAGCACTGAAATAAAAGTATATTCCTCTACTATCTTTTAGACACCTCCCAGACATCAGAGACTATTGTGGATAGTGATTCGGTGAAATCTGAGAACAATATAGATGGAAAAGAAAGCTCTGTCTGCATGGAGGTGTTGGAGACCCAGCTGGGCCTTCAGAGTTCAGAAGTTCTAGAAGAAGAAGAGGACACAGTGCAGGACTTTTTGACTGGGCCAGAGCCAGCACTTGGAGATGCACGTAAAGAGAATGAGAGCATGGGGGTCTACACAGGGGATGGGAATGAAAAAAGCAGTGACAACAAAATTGGTATGTGTCTAATGGTGATATTGCATTACACTGGAAACATGGTTTGTCAGTTCAACATAAAAAATCACTTAAAGCAATTAAACTTGTTTTTATGAAAGTCAAATAAATACCTTTTAATGAAACAATGCCAAGCAAAATAAATAGGTTAGATGACAAAAGCAATATTTTACATCAATTCAAATCCAATTCAATCCTGTTCCACTTTTCACAGAAGGTGAAGAGCATCAAAATTCTACATACCAGTCAAGTACAAGTGGCCAAGTACAGGAAGATGCACAACAAAGTGTGGAGCCTGACCTAATAGAAGAATCAGGTCAAACACATCTGCCCAGTGTTGTAGACCCACCAGAACCAGCAGAGCCACCACCCATTTGTCCCTGTGATGTTAGCCAGATAGTAGAGCCAAAGCAAGAGACAGAGGTATCACAAGCAGAACAATCAGAACAGTCAGAGACAACAGGATATTCAGAAAAGGCACAGGTCATGTTTATTGCAACACTGGATATGATTAGTGATGAGGCTGTGCAACTAGAGCAATTACAACATGCAGAAAAGATGCAAGGGTCAGCGTGGGCAGACAAGCAAGAGGAAGCAACATGTGAAGAGCAAACATTAAGCTCAATGGATGCTGAACTTACTGGACATGAAGAACAACTCGAATGTTCAACAAGGTCAGAACTCGTAGAATGTTTAGATGAGGTGAGACACTCTGAAGAGTCAAAACAGGAAATTTCTGTTGATGAGGAACTCTCAGAAGAGTCAAAGAAATCTGAATGTTCCACTGAGACAGAACCCTCAGCGCAATCAGAAGGTTCCAAGGAGATGCAACACTCTGATCAGTCAGAACATTCAGAATGTTCCACTGAGGCAGAACCTTCTGAACAGTCAGCTCAGTCAGAAATTTCCAGTGAGACACAACACTCTGAACAGTCAAAACAATCAGAATGTCCCATCGAGACAGAATCCTCACCACTCTCAGACCTAGAGAATGGAGAACAAACACAGCAAGCCAACCAACTAGATCAGCCACAACAGACTGAAAGACAAAACTGTATTGAGTCTAAACAGCAGAATGAGGACAAAGAGCAGTCAGAGTGTGCAGGCCAGACAGAACAGTCATTAGCAGAGCATACACATGGAGCCCAAGAACAACTGGAGGGACAGATGCTGGAGTCTGTAGCACTTGTGGTTCCCTATGAGAATGGCAGAGTGGAGGTTGTGGACAGGGAGGAGGCCCGTAAACTAGCTGAAAGACTGTACAAACTTGAAAATGTTCAGCGGACGGATGTGGTGCGACATCTGGACAAAGAGTGAGTAACTGCTGAGCACAGTTTTACTGTATTACTAAAACCACCCCTTACCACATTTTTTCTTTCACATTAGCAATGAGTTCAGTCGTGCTGTCGGGGAGGAGTACCTGAAGTTCTTTGACTTCACTGACCAAAGTTTGGACGAAGCTCTTCGGTGAGATCATCTGGCTTCAGATTCAGCTTAATTAAAATGGGATGTAATGTAAATGTAGTCATAAATGCTTCCATTTTCAAGTATTTGAATTGCCTCCCCATTTTCCTCTGACGTTGTGCCCAATCCTGCTCCTAGGTCATTTTTGAAAGAGGTGGTTCTGATTGGTGAGACTCAAGAGAGGGAGCGAGTGTTGGAACGCTTCTCCAGCCGTTACCAGCAGTGCAACCCTCACTCATTCTCTTCGCCGGGATCTGTTCTCACACTCACCTGTGCTGTAATGCTTCTCAACACAGACCTACATGGACAGGCAAGTTTGGCTATATAGCTGGAACAGACAATCTAAAGGCCATGCCGTAGAATGCCATAGAGCACAACCAGAGCACAACCTTTCAGTGGATGGTTTATAAATATGTATAGATATAAGGTATATAAAAGTATAAAGGTATAGAACCCTTACCATATGTGAAGGTTCTTTAAACCTTTTAAAAGGTTCTTTATACTCACAAATCTATTTCAAGCATGGTTCTTTAGGGAACCACGAGTAGTTCTCCTGTGACATCACTCAAAGAACCTAAGAAACTTTGGTCTACATAAGTTGGAAAAATGTTTGTCTTCCTTTTCATCAGAATGTTGGCAAAGCCATGTCTATGACTGACTTTGTTTCCAATTTGGATGGGATGAATGAAGGAGAAAATTTCAACAAAGACTTGCTGAAGGTAAGAGGAATACTTCAAATTATTTTAAACTTCCAAGGTGTATTTATTACATTTTATATTGACTTCTGAACTAAACTGTAATTTTGAGTGAGTTAAATACATACATTTAAATTTATGTATACATCATTTAATGTACTATGCAAATTAATTCCAGTTCAAGTTTACTTACTTTTCACTGTCAAGAAAAAAACAAAGGTCTCCAACACTAAGTATATATCAAATCCATCAGTTTTTAATTTGTCCACTCTACTTTTGTGAACCTTACTGACAGTTCAACTTTTCCAGCCTTTCAGTTTTTAAACCAGTGAGTTACAGTCCTCCCAACGAAGCTGATCCCAAAAGTATCACTGGGTTTATGCGTACCCTTCAAATAACACTCACAAGCAACTACCCAAGCTCACCTCAGCTGCCTTGCAAATTTCTTTCTCATGTGCATCTAACGTGGCTAAAGGAAATATTTCTGAAGAGATTAGATTTAAACTAATCAACTTGTATAAGGAAAGGGAAGTCAAATGAAAATAAGTGAAAAATTTACTAAGATACAGAGAAAATGGGACTCCTAGCAACCATGACCTAGTATACCACCAAAACTGTCCCCATGTACCTGAGAGTACGTAAAGTACTTAAAGCTTTCATCAATGAGAGCAGAAAATCAAGCTTAGCTCTTGCTTTAGACCTGAAAAACTTCACAGGTATTTCTGTTCATCCTTCCACTGTGAGAAGACAGGATGTAGCTGTCAGAAAGCTCCTACTGGGAAAAGGAAATAGACAAAAAAGAAAATGTGCACTAAAACACTGAAACTGGACATCTGAGAAATACAATAAGGTTTTATAGACTAAGGAGTCAAAATGTATAATTGGGATGACTTGCATTGTAAAAAGCAGAAAATGTAATCAACTTCTAAGACTGAACTTTGGAGGTGTAGAAAAATATCATTGCAAATATCTTTAGAAAACTAAAAGTAAGTCTCATGAGAAGAATGGGTGCTGTAATAAAGGCAAAGGGTGGACACACTAAATACTGAAAAATGTGATGTTATATTTAGTTATTAGTTGGCTTCTGTGTAATTTTCTGTTAAGCATATGTTTTCTACTTTCCTGTCGTTGAAAATGGCCATTTTGGCTAGAAATGGAAAAAGGTCTCTGATATTTGTATTGTATGTTGGTTTCTAGTGACTGTTTTTATTCTTTCCTGAAGTCAGTTGTTTTTGTTTGCAGTTTTTGCTATGAGCAGGAGCTTTGGATTATTGATTAAACTAATATTTTCCCCTTATTATTATTTTTTTTTCAAAATCTCTTTCAGACTCTTTACCACTCAATCAAGAATCACCCACTTGAGTGGGCAGTGTGAGTGCATTTTTGCCGTTTTTGTCTTTGACTTCCTGGAGTAGGCCCACATATTGCCGCTTCTGTTTTCACCTGTAACCTTTTCTTTTCATTTGTCTTTCCTTCTAGAGAGGAGAAGGAACTGGTGAAATCTATGATCTTGGAGCAGGACTCCGAACTGGATGGTTCTCTGCGTTCAAAGAGTAATCCCTTCCAGGATATTGCTCATGACAAGAAGGCAACTGTGTTTCAGAAAGGCTTCCTGAAGCGCAAGGCGCATGCTGACATAGATGGAAAGCGCAGTAAGTGAACAAGATATATATGTATAGTTGGTAAGCAGGGTCCGACACAGATTACTGATTAATTGTTAAAAAATGTGATCTTGAAACTAATCCAAAGGATTACTAGATTACTGTCTTACGTAATCTGATTACTTTCTGTTGCTTTTGGATTATTTGTCTTCTTTTTAAGTCATATAGAGAGGAAGGAGAAAAAAATCAGCAAGACATTTTTTTTCTAACACAAAGTAAACAGGAAAAAATGCACAATTAATACAAACAAAATAGGTGATGTATTATTGTACTCACTTTAGTTTATAAATTTCAAATTTTTCTTCAATAATTTGGTGTAGTGGTTTAGATGTTCAAGTAAAATGTAGTTTCTAATGAATAAAAATAAATATTGTAATGTTTTGCACCCTCAGCTTTACATTCCCATTTTTTAACCTATCCTTAAAACTGCATTCATGGAAAGGACATGGACTTCATTTAGCTGTGTAGATTTTTCTGTCGATATCGGCCAATATGAACCTGAACGCCTGTATGCTACCATTCTCGGAAAGCTTTTCATCAATTTTTTATTTAAATACACAGTTATAACAAGAAAACAGACAAACATCACTCCCATTTCGACAGAAGCGACATAATCTGTGGGGAAAAAAGTGAAATTTATCACATGAAAGAAAGAGAAATTTAGCTTAACTTGGAGCCATCTGTTATAAGTTACCATTGTTGCCATAGCAAACACATTGTTTGTTGTGAGGGTTTTTTTTATTTTTTATGAGAGTTTATTTTAACGAAAGAGTAGAAAACCTCATGGCAAAATCTGCATTTACCAGACAAATGTAGCTCATAGAGATAAACATAGGTTTTAATGTAATCCTGCTAGCAATCACCTTATTTTTAGGTTTGCATTTAATCACTGTCTTTAAGTGCTACAGAATACAGTTGCCTTTTTTTAACGATCACGTAACACTGTTATGTTGTTCTGTTACTACCCAAGGTAACAAACACAAATCAGAACATTTCTGTACTGTGCACCTTTCCTTTGGTAGTATGTTAGCTTTATTAAGTAATTCTTAATTGCTTGGTTGTGACGTGGTAACATTTTTCTTTTACCTGTATGGCAGTTCCGTGGGGTAAGAGAAGTTGGAAGACTTTTTATGCAGTGCTGAAAGGGATGGTGCTTTACCTACAGAAGGTATGGATGTTTTTCTAATTTATAGAATAATGTTTTGTGTAGTAAAGGCATTATACTAGAGTATTAGTGTAATTTTGTGGCAACAGTGTTAACTCTCTATTTCAGGACGAATACAGAAAGGACTGGCAGAGCTCTGAGGAGGTGCTCAGTGTTCATCACGCTCTGGCAGAGAGAGCAGAAGACTACACCAAGAGACCGCATGTATTCCGCCTTCAGACTGCAGACTGGAGGGTCTTCCTCTTTGAAGCAGCGTAAGTGTGTTGGCTTGTACAGTATCTCCTACACTTTCGTCCACTGTCTGGAGTGCTTATGTTGAGCATCACATTCCCCCATATCGTCTCCTTTAGGTCAACAGAACAGATGAACTCATGGATCGGCCGAATCAACTTGGTGTCTGCTCTGTACTCCTCGCCTCCTTTTCCAGCTGCTGTGGGCTCTCAGAGGAAGTTCTGCAGACCCATCCTACCTGCAACTCAGTCTACACTCACTCTGGTATGCAACTCATTTATCACCTTACAGACTTAAATGTGATGTGATGCGTGTTGTTTTTTATTTTTTCCTCTAAGGTCCACTTATGACATTTGTGTTGTTTTAATTACAAAAAGCTGTCTTAATATTTTGGATTATGCCTTATTTAAAAAGTAGTCTGGGCTGAAACGCTCCTTATAGCTTCAGTGTGAACGAGTGGGGCTAAACTGTTTGTCATGACATCACAAAAACAATGAATTCAAACAGGCTCATATGTAAACAGTACAGACTGGAGAGTGAATGGTGCATTCTAAAACTTTTAACAGTGACTAGTGGTTCGATATTAGAAAAGACTGCTGGTCTAACTAAGCTTTGATCATGTGAACAGCATGGCTTGTGGTCCAACAAAGGTTGACCTAGCCCATGTCATCTAGGCAGATACCGGCTGGACTATTTGAAATAAATTTAGATGCGTACGTGCTTTGGTCGTTCCACTGACGAAAACACTGAGGTTTTGTGATATTTTGCGGCTTTTTCTGCAGTACTGCTAGTGTGATGACAGCTTAATGAGTCACGAAAGGGACACACTTATGTCTAGAGAAAGAGACCTCCCTCATGTTAAACATTTAGTCATAAATAGACAAAAGAAAACAGGATTGCTGATACCTTTAAATGGCAGGAAACTCATGTAGATGAACTTATTTGTGTCATGAAGGGGACGTTTCACATTGTAAAGGCAGGCTATTCTGGCGTGCATGTAACACCACTATAAATTGACTAATCTTTTTTACAGATCTTGTAAACGTCTTGGCTCTGTCCAGTTTCAGACTAACTACGAATTTACTCGGGCTATTGTGTGCATGTAAATATAGTTTTTACTACATCACACTCTTTTATTTAAAAAAGGTGAAGAAAATATGGTTTTCTATGACATGGGCCCTGAAGCTTTAAATGTATTCTTTTAACATTAGTATTTATAGTGTTGACTAGCTGTCAATATTCTTACAGTTTTCTAAGTCTTCTAGACTTCTTGTGAAAGTTACTGGTTAATTTGAGTCTTTAGCTCTTTCTTTCCATAGACGAAGTGAAACTAGAGATGAGGAAATTCTGAAAGTGTTACAATGCTTGTTTGTGTGTCACAAATAACCTGTTATGTTTACAAATAGGAGAAGCAGCTGCAGTCTCACGCTGCCATGCTACAGTCCTTTCAGGAGGACCTGAGTGCACTACAGCAGGGGGCGCCAGAGGGCCGCAAAGCCAAAGCTAGAGAGCTGGAGGAATACAGACTGAGAGAGGAGTACCTACAGCATGAGGTTTGTGTGGAATGTGTGTGTTTGTCAGTACACAGTTAAATACATAGTGATCCTTTTTGAAGAGACACATCAGAAGCACCTGCACTTTAGAGAAGTAGTTTTGGGGGGAAAATATAATTTACGTACTTTTCCTCTTACCCCAAATGAAGTCGATCGGCCAAGATGTGTTTTTCCCTAGTTTTGTTAAGAGGCTACTAGAGGTAACAAGTGATTGAAGCTACACCCCACTAACTAACACTGTGCAAACTGCATGCCAAAATCACACATTTCCCCTAAATTATGTGGCTTTGTAAACCCTCAACTGCAGAAATTATGAAATGCACATTCATTTTTAATGATATTTCTGATTGAAAATGCCATAATTATCAGAAATATTTTTAAAATTTCGAAAAATAAAATATTTTTAACAGTGTACTTGTTTTTGTTGCCACATTTGTTGCAACAGCACACAACAGTGGAGCTGCATTCTGAAATGCATGCAGTGGGAGTAAAGCGTAGGACATGTTCATCATCAAGGCATGAGAAAACATGCCAAATTCGTATTCTGTATGTTTCAAGAATATAGAAAGGAATGTGAAAACAATTATATATTGATAAAACTGTCCACTTGGAATGTAAAAAAAAGACTGTGTGGAAAAAGCAGTTTCCTGTGTATCCAAAAGAAGTGCATTCTCTAACTTCCACTGAATGCACTGCAGATTGCAGTTCTGTTGTCGCCTCCTTTTGCTGTGCAGCAATTAAATATCCTCATTTTTTCATAAAACACTGAAACTGCTGACACAGATTGTGTCAAGTATTTGTACATAAATATTGGCTAATACACACACTTTGAAAGGCCTGGCTTCACCATGTAATGTGTGGGTGGGTGTATATGTGTGTGTGGGTGTATGTATGTGTTTGTGTTTGTGTGTGTGTGTGTGTGTGTGTGTGTGTGTGTGTGTGTGTGTGTGTGTGTGTGTGTGTGAAGAAGTACAGATTGCAACAGCAAAGTTAGATAAAAGGATGCCATGTTTCTCAGAAAGCCTTCAGTTTAATATAAAATGACTTTTATATTACAGCCAGACACAAAAGTTATTGTTGCCATTTGGCAACACCATGCAGTAAAGGGTTAACTTTTCTCTAATAGACCTGCTGATGTCGTTCATGAAACGTTACAGAAAAATGCATAAAAATGGATAAAAGAAAGTCTGTTTTAGATTACTTAACAACTTTGCATGATTTAATAATTAGGCTTACATTTTACAAGATACAGACTGGTGGGTAACATCATTGAGTATAAGCTTCCATTAGCTATGTTAGCCTCAGCTCCAGTGCAAATCTAAAGAAGTAAATCATAGACACCATACATATCTTGGCTGGTTGAATACATTTGGAATAATGGAGAATTTGGTTGAATTTGAGTTTTTACGACATAATCCTTTTCACACATTTTTGTGAAACTATCCTTTTACACATTACACTTTCTTAAACCTAAATGCAATATGTGAAGGCCCAGTAACTTCGTCATTTAGATGTCACACTCTGCTCTTTCTTTCTTCACAGAGATGTCGTTATGAGGCTTATCTTCAAATGCTAGAGGTCTGGCAGAGACTCGGAAATTCCTCCGCCTCTGAAATGGCAGGTGGGATGGACCTCTCTCTTTTTGACCAAGAACTGTGGAGAGGAACGGCTTTAGAAGAGGAGGACGATGATGAGTTGGATGGAGGGATGAAGAGATCTCATTCCAGTCCATCTCTTGAACTGGAGGTGGCTCCTCCGCCTGTGGTGAAAGTACGGCGCAACATCTCAGAGAGACGAACTTACCGTAAGATAGTTATTCCACGACGTAACAGGGAGGTATGAGACAGTACAGTGTTGATGAAACAGACTGTAACAGTACATTCCAGAATGTTACAGTATCAGTGCTTTAATCCTGTAAAACATCTTTAATAGCAGGAATCCCTTCATTTTGTGTTGCTCTCTATGCACAGATAATTATAGCAGAATGTGTTAATAACTAACCTCTGTAAGCTGAAGCAGTAGTGTGCGTTCTTGTGAACAGTTTTCCTGGAGATAGAACATTAGTTACTGAACCAGTGCTTTTAGTCATCCAGTCCTGTTTGAATAAAATAGCAGAACTCTGAAAAAAAGATTAAGTACAAATGAGCACTTTTCACAATACCACATTCTCAAGACCGTCAAGGGTATAGTCTCTCTCAAACACCCTCAAATTAAATATTGCTGAATTTTTTTTCTCAGTCTGGTGTCCACTGTCTAATCCAGAGATATTTAGAGAACCAACATCATCGGAAAAAAATCAATTTTGCTTGCCTTTATTTGAATAAAATAGCTTGATGTAGATTGTGAACACTGTTTCAAGATGTACCATTCGCTCTCCCATTCAAATATGAAAACTAAGCTACCAAAAAAGCCTGTTTTGAATTAATTGTTCAAGTAATGTCATGAAAACCAATACATTTACATAAAGGAAGCTTGTCATAGTTAAACTAAGCCTACACTTAACTCCACCCACTGACACTTAAGCAGTGTTTCAAAGAAGCCAATTAGAACAGAGCATATTTACATATTAGTTTTAAATGTCCATGATGATAACAGGTTGCACAACTGCTTAAGGGGTAAAGACAAGTTGGAAAAGTGTCACTTAAAAAAAAAAAAGATTTCTGGCATTTATTGGTAAATAAACCCACATAAACATTTGAAATGGACCTAGAAGGAAAAACCATACAATGTAGGATATGTTACCTTTTAAATTTAGACCTTGAAATAAAATCATAAGTTACTTGAACAGTTAATGTAAGTGGTTGGCCACTTTTTCTACTACTAAAACTACTTGTCCCTAAATGGCTCTTGGAAATGCAGTTTTAGGAAAAAAAAACTTTAATTTGGTGTAAAATCTTCATGTAGAGGTTCTTTAAACTTTAAAAAGGTTCTTCATAGTATTATATCTTATTTACAAAACCAGTTCTTTAAAGAACCACCCCCCGGGTAAAAAGAGTTTAATCAATAGAGGGTGAAAAATCTTTCATACACGGACTTGATCACTCTGGATTCTAAGCACTGATACTGTCCACAAGACGGGGATCTTGGACAGGTAATCAAATTAGGCCTTTAGCAAGGGCCATTGCTCCAGGTGTTCTATAGAAATACTGTATATCACCTTCATGACACCACAACAATTTTAGCCCAGCATAACAGGTGCCCTTATTGGCCCCTGATCTGAACTGCTATAATATTTTAACAGTTGCTAGTTTTTAAAAAGCTGAAATGCACTCAGGAAGCTGTGAGATCTCAATGAATTGTGGAAATGACACATTTGCAGCTTGTGGACTGTTAGGAAAAACGTTTTTGTACCTTCTTTAAATGTCATGTTTTGCACATTTTTTGTCACTTTTACTATAACAGAAATAAATTAATTTAAAAACTATGTTGAATATTATTTGCTACATGAAATCTCCCTTTAAAAAAAACCTTTCTGTATTCTGCATTGTGCCCATTTGAAGATAAATCTAGCCCATTATTAGGGCTGCATGATATGGCCAAAATTATCATATTGTGATTTATATTGCCATGCATTGTAATTTCAGTGTACCTTATTTGATGAACACAGTGTTAAACCCTTAATGCAACATGATTAAAGACTGGAATGGATTATTTTTGGCAAAAGTTGTGTTGGATCGTATTCATTTCATTAAATTCAGTAAAACAACCACATAAACACACAGCTGAGATTTTAAAGTGCACAACAAACAGATTCAGTGATTAGTTTACAGCATCAGTATGGCAAAGGTAAGCATTGTGATAATTAACAAATGAAATCCTGTGCAGCTGTAGGTGCTGTATTTGTTATTGTGAGTTCTGTAGTCATGTGCGTTTCTTTGAAAGAGCAATAAAGTGAAAAATACTCTTGCAGCTTGATTTATCGGACCATTATGTGTTGAAATGGAAAGAACGACCTTTTTCTAGGAACAAAAACAAAACCGAAAACATAAACATTCAAGTGTGCCAAAACAGAAACATCTATTTGAAATCTCTGGTTAATGATGTCATTTTTGGTTCCATGTAGCGCACAACTTGCACTGTAAAAAGGAGAACAGGTCAGAAGACGTATTCAGGTCAGAAAAGTGTTTTCGAGGTTTGAATTTAAGTAAAATATTGCTTTTCTTCATCTAACTCATTTATTTTGCTTTGCATTGTTTCCTTCAAAGTACTTATTTGAGCTGAATAAAACCAATTAAGTTGTTTTTACCACAGAATAGGTTAAACTGACAAACTATTTTTTGCAGCGTACCAAAAATTTGACCTAATTCATCATTTGTCTATTAAATATTATCATTTACTGATAATTATTAACTAATTTACTACTATTATTTATCCTCTAGACTCTGTGGTTCAGTTCCATAGCCTACACATATATATGTATATATATATATATTCCAAATTCTTACATATTAAATCCTCATTCATTAAAGGCAGATGAAGATGATTATAAAAGCTGCCTCCAATTATTTGTTTGGTCAAAACATTAGGAATCAACGGTGATACTGGATTCAAATCAGTATTGGCAGATATTTACCAAAAATGATATATCAGACAGATGTTTAGATTTGACTGACACTTTGACTGATACGTTGTTCTTCAGAAAAGCAGAATGTTTAGGTGATGTTGGGCTACTGTGCTTAAGTGTCTATTATATTCATTTTAGAGCTTTGTAACCCTACACTCTTAAAAAATAGAGGTGTTTGAAAGGGTTCTTTGTGTGATGCCATGGAATAACTACTTTGGTTCTTCATACTCACAAATCTCCTTTTTTTTTATAAACATGGTTCTTTAGGGACCAAAAAATGGTTCTTCTGTGGCAAAAACAAAATATGTCATCTTTTTCAAGAGTAAAGAATAATAAATGACATATTTCTCTGTAATGTTAATCCAGGTAGATGTAGTTCCAGTTGTTACATTTTATAAATACTATGTATTGGTGTTGTGGATATGTACATGAAAAATATTACATACCAGCATGGCCTTAATTTTATGGTGCATCCCTACAAAACATTATTTGTTGTAGTTTTGAGATAAGGCTTTGGTCTTATTATTTATTTTTCTATTTATGGTGGAGATCTACATGTAGGACGTTGTAAGGCAAGATAGTTCCCAAAGAGAACATTTTTCAGATTTTCCACAATTTTACCATTATCAATATCAATAATACATATAAAAACTCAGAGAACGTGTAGATTCACTCGTCATTTAAGATGCTAAATAAAATGGCTAGGCCTGCATTGTAGACATCGCAACCCCTGGCTCTGGTCACCACTGCTGTACAGAAATAATATTTCTCGACAAAGAACTATTTTACATCAAACCACTCTGAATTACTTTGTTGACATCTTGACAATTGAACCATAAAGAAATGTTGAAAAATTGGTGGAATTCCCCTTTAAGAACTATGCGGTGTATCCCTCATGAGAGGTGGTCTGTTTTTAGGCAGGCCATAGATAGGCAATGTGACAAACTGCTTTGTATCTTTTTAATAGCAGTCCCTAAGAAGAAACTAAGTAACACAGGCTTTTCTTAAATCTGATATATTTTCTTTGCTGTGACAGCAGGGCCAGGATCAAATAGGTTTTTGTGGATGTCACTGTAATATGTGAAAGGATCCACTGTATGTCCAGGGAAGAGACTCATATCCTTTCATTTGACTGACAACCTGCCATTAGGATCTGATGCTTTAGATGCTGCCTTGTTTAATTGAAGGAATGATTGATTGTACCTGTAGGCTGTGGCATTGTTCAGGATGTGTCAGGACGATAAAGATCTCAGGGCTCAATATCAGATAAGCTAAATGCAGGCTGTTGATGTATAAACACATCTTGAGGAAAGGCACCATCACGTCCTCAATGAGTCAGAAAATGACTCCTGAAGATAAATATACGCACTTCTGGTTTTACTCTCTGATGAGTAAACACAAACACTAATTGAAGCATAAATACAAAGTTAATAATTGACATAGTATGGCAAGCTACTAGACTGTAAACACAACTGCTGTAGGATGCTGAAATATTCTGAAGCACAGGAGGGTTCGAAAAATAAGGATAAACGCAGCATTCTGAACATTCCATGTCAAAATACAGAATCACAACTGATGTCATTAAAAGCTCATTAAGAAACAAAGCTCATTACAACTGGCATTCACAATTATCACTCATCCTGATTAAAAAGTGCTTTTTTTCTACACCTCGGCTATGTTCATGCTTGTGTTTAGCCTATATGAAGTGGTCCTACAGTAGAAGCAGCCTCCTCACTGTGGTCTTAGCATAAGGTCATGACCAAGGCTCTATGCAGGACCTGCGAAGCGTGACTGCTCCGCTGCCTCTGAGTGCCATCTGACTGCTCTTCTCCACTCATATAGTGGCCATGACTGTGGAAGAGGCCAACACGGCCTTGTGTGATTGCAGGGAGTCTGGGCCGGTGCTAAGCCTATGAGGGCCCTGTTTTTGTTCACCCTAGTCTGCTTGGCTGAAGAGCTTTGTGGTAGCCTGTCAGGCCTGGTTGAGTAATTAAAAAGGCAAGCAGAGGTTTGCCTTCATTAAGGGCCTTGGCCAGCACTTAGCCACTGCAAACAAGCTCCACTGACATTCTTTTGCGCTACCTCTACCTCTCTGGCTCCCGGCTAATCTGCCCGTCTTGAAAAATTCCTAACGATGGCTTCTACAGGGATGAGCAAACTAACATGGGGTAAAATGTAACATGGATATTTTATGTAATATTTATAGTTTATAGTTAAGTGGGTTCCAGTAGAACGTACTTTTAGTCATGTTCTTGCAACCCCATAGCTACGTCATCCACGAATTTTGACTAGGATCAGACAGATATCTCTCCAGTTTCTCCCTGAAGACTTTGTTTAATATCATAAAAGCGACTTTTTTCATCGTAAATGTTTTTAATTTACTGATATTCACAACTATAATATTTCAGTATCTTGGAGTCTGTAATATAGCAAATCTCACCGAGCAGGCCAGGCTAGTCACTGCAGGGTTAGTGGTAAAGCAGACTTATAAATGTCTCCCAAAACAATGGGACATGTCCATATGTGCCCCATACACATTAAAAAAAAAAACGTTTGTATGCACAGATTCATCAAGAACATACTAAAAATGCTGTGTAAGTAACATACACTTCAATTATATTGGGCTAATATTTGCTGTTTGACCCACTCTCTTTTCTCTAATAAATTTTTGTTTTGATGTATTTAGGTTGGAATGGTTCAAACTACTTAGATTTCTATTGAATTAATTCCATTTTGTGTTTTTCCAATTTACTAGACTTTTTAAAGACTTGGTGTTTGCACTTGGGTGTTTGCACTTGCTATACTTTCAATTGAATTGTTTACAAACCATAGGAACTGGAAATTAAGTTTATGTTTTCATTTGTAGCAGAGATGAGCAGTTTGACTGTAAAAAACAACCATTAATCTTGCTCAAATATTTTTAAAATCATTAAACAAAAAGCAAACTGTATTGTGCCCTGCTGTCCCCAACCTTGCTTTACTGCTGCCTACATTCGTCTTTTTGTTATTCGGTCATAATTTTCTCTTGTGAAGCTGACTCGGGTACACAAAAGTTGCCAAAACTGAACTGTATGCTCAGGGATGAGGTGAAAAAAAAAATACAAACACTGGAA